ATGCCGACCCTCCTAGCTCCCTCAGCCCTTTCCTCCCCAGTGGGCAGTGTGTGGGTTTTAGATCAAATGGGGTTTTTTTCCCTCTTGTGGCCGGTCACTCGCTGTCACACACAGGGCCTCCATGTGTTGGCCCAGAGGCCTCTAACAAGCCAACCATCACTTCAGGCCCTGAGTCTGTGTTTGCTCCCTGATGGAGGGCGTCTCCATCTCTGTGGGCCCCTGCCTAAGCAAGCCGAATTCACACCGTGCCCACCAGCCTGCCACCCCCCAGCCATAGGCCAGGCCAGGCAAGCAGGTCCTTAGCACTGCTGCTCGCTGCCTGGGGGCCCTATGTGCACCTGCCTGCTGATTTACTTCCTCCCAAGGCCCGAGAGGTAGACCAGCGCTCGCTGGAACAACAGGTACACCCAGGTACCACCACCTGAGGCAGAGGTGCCACTGGGGCCCCTGACCTGCATGGGTGCCTGTTTCAGAGCCCTTGTCTCAGACTCAGAATGGAACTTTGGGTTGGAAGCCCCTCAGGCTCTGGGCCGTTGGAAGCAGCCACGTTTTGTGGTCACTGTGCCCCCAGTGATATGAGTTGCAGAGATGCCAGAAGCCAGGGAGGATACACCCTGGGCTTGTGTGCTGGAGGATTTGTGTCCTATTTAAATCCCGCTGAGAGCGGCTAAGTGAACAGGATACTGTTCTCTCCAAGAGAAGGACAAGGTGATTGTATCTCACAGCCTTTATCCTCTGTTTCTTGCAGGAACAGATAGAGCTGCCAGAGGTTCCTTCAGAGCCCCTTCCTGAAAAGATCCCAGGTACCCTCCTCGTTATGTCCTTTGGAGAACCGTGCGTTCTAGAGCAAAGCAAAATATCCTGGCCTCTGGGCCCTGCCCTTCCTGCTTGGTGAGGGTCGGGCCCCAACCCCCCTGCTTGGTGGGCGTGTTTGCTGGCACCAGCTCAGGTGGAGTGCGGGCCTCGCCCTGAGGTTGAGCCCAGGCTTCTGAGCAGTTTCGGTAACCTCGTAAGAGCCAAACCCCGTTCAGAGAGGCGAATCCCAAAGTTAGAGTCGGGAAAGGGCCAGTTTAGCTGTGCAGGCTCTTCTGGGTCCAACCCAGGACCAGCCGTCCACTAAATGTCACTGGGACGACCTTCCCCGCAGCATCGCTTAACACGCCTTCAGAAATTCTCTCTCCGCCCGGACTCGTCTTTCGCGATTCCTCCTCAGTTCTTTCTGCTCCCTTGCTGCTTCTTGACCTCCTTTCTGGGGTCCGTGGGTAGGGGTGCACGCCCACCTGCTGTGCTGTCCTGAGTGCTTGTGCCCGGTGCCTGCTGTTTGTCATCCCTCCCGGCTTCTGTGTGTAACTCGCCTTTCTCAGAGCTGTGCCTGTTCTTCCCAGAGCGCGAAGCCCTGACCTGGCTCCTTGCTGCCTCTTGTCCTTTTCGGGAAGTTCCCTCCTCTGGGGTCTTCTGTACGCGACAGATATCTCTATGTTTCCTCCACAGAGAAAGTCCCCGTCAAGGCCAGGCCCCGACAGGCGGAAGTGGTGGCAGCCTCGTAACTTGTGTGGGACTCACGGGGATTCCAGAGGACTGGGGCCCGCAGAGTTTGGGTGCGTGTCCGGCCCTGGCCGGGCTCCCAGGAGGCTGGCGCTGGGCCAGGTGGGCCGGGAGCTGACGGAGCAGCACAGCACACACAGGGCTCCTGATCAGGATGACTACGGAGCGTTTTCCTGGCGCTGCTGTCTTGCTCTCGTTTCTGGATTAAATGGCAACATTCAAACTCTCCAGCCAAACGCAGCTTCTGCAGCTGTGGTTCCCATGGGCCACGGCCAGGCCCAACGCTCCTGGTGCTGGTCACACCTCCCTCCCCGGGTCGCGCGGCTCCATGGGCCAGTGTCTCCGCCACCCTGTCTTCTGTGGAAGGCACATCAGACCTGGCCTCCCCACCCTTCCCTTTCCCTTCTTCCTGCTGCTCCCATTAGCTGGCAGGGCTTTGGTTAAGGGGGCCCTCCCTTGGCCTGGCTCCCGGACGTGCCCAGTTTCCATGTAGACTTCGGGGTGGTAACCTCTCTGCTTCCACGTCGGCGTTTGTGGGTGGTGGACCAGGAGGGGTGCGTCCCTGCTGGATTTTGATGGCTCTAGGAGGTCTGCCCACCCCATCACTCCTGGGGCCATACAGAGGCCCAGTCCTGCTGACAGACATTCCAGGATAGCCGGCCAGTGTGGCTGCGGGTCCCCGAGCTGCCAGCTTCAAGCTGTTAGCAGCCAAGTGGAGACTGGGAAGGATGGAAGTGACTTCCCTAGTTCACGGTTCGTTTTGGAATTAGACAATCTCCCTGAGATTTCACTCCCAACAAGAAGACAAAGGGGGCCCTCTTAGCCCCCCAGACAGGCCAGCCCCATATTAAAGTTGACACCCACACAGCCTGCTGCCTTGTGGGCTGGGGTCCATGGAAGGGCAGGTTGGTGTGGTTCTTCCCTCAGGTCCCTGGAACACAGTCCCTTGACCCTCCCGGGGCACTTGGCACCTGGCTGGTCAGTGCCACACAGGGGCTGGGGCCTCAGGAGCCAGTGAGGTTCTAGCCCTGCCCGGCTGTGGATGGAAGGCAGTCACCTGTGGGCACCTGCCCGCAGCAAGGTGCAGGGCGGTACTCTGGCCCCACCTCCCTTAGAAGGGGTGCTGGTGGTTTCTCATTTTTCAAGGGGTTTTGCGTGACTCCCGTGGCTGGTGGCTGGGAGGGCGTGCAGTTTGGTGCCTGTGGGGTGTGGGGGTCTGGTTTGGAGTCCTGATGTCTAGGTAGGAAGCCAGATGCCCCAGGGAGCGAGCAGGCAACAGCAAGGACAGACAAGTGGGTGTCCCACCTGAGGGGGGGCTCCACACCCTCCACCCAGAGGGCATGGTGGGATGTGGCCAAGTTGCCAGGTCTGGAGTTCTTCAAGAGGAGCTAGAAACCCAGGCTTTCAGCCGACAGTCTTGCTTTGTGTAAAAGCACCCTTACCAGGTGCATGCACACCTCAGCCAGGAGGGGGCTCTGTGCCAGCTGATTTGGGGGATTTTGCCAGAAGCCGACCTTTCCAGCGCCACTCTGGCTGCTGGGCCCCACCCCAGTCCTAGGGGCAGTTCTGATTGAGGAGGGGAAGGAGGTCCTGCCTCTCCTGCCTGTGAGTGACCCGTCCCTCTGCAGCAGTGGGTCCCAGGCCAGGGGAGGGAGGGGCAGCCTCTCCAGACCCCACAAGCAGGGTGGACACCTCCCCTTTCCCTCTGCCTCCCAGGACCCAGAGCTTGGGGCGGCCTGGGAGGCTGCTCATGGCAGTGCCCTGCCTCGTCTCTTAAATGGTTTCACCACTGGGAGCTGTGTGGTGGGCTGTGGGGCACCAACCCCCGGCCCTGGTGAGCGCTTGGAGAACCTGCCCATGGGTGTGTGTGGCCCAGCTCCCTGGGATACACCCGTTCCCAGGACGGGAAAGTCATGACCAGCCTCCTCCTGAACTGGGCATGGGGTACCCTCGTGTGGAACAGCCCAAGAGTTGGGGAGGGGAGCCTCATCCTCTCGCCGTCAACAAGTGAGATTTCACGTACCAACCAACATGCCTTTTTCTTTGTAAAAGTTCATCCCTGGACCTAGGGAGGCCATACTCTGAAACCCAGCTGACCTAGAGCTGACTCCTGGGCTCCGGCCTTGGAGGTCACCTGGCTCATAAGCCCCCTGTGTGTGTGTTGGGGCAGGGGGAGCCCATGCAGCCAGGATGAGACTCACATCTTCCTGCCCAGCGCTGAGACCCGGTCTTAAAATACCAGCTGTGTGAGCCTGACCTGACCTCCTAATCTGGGGGGCATAGAACTCATGACGATCACAAACCAGTCACAGTTAAGTACAAAATCTGGGAGCAGAGCTGGCATCCTGTCCAAGATCAGTGGGGGCCTGGTGGGGGGCTTGGAGGAAAAGGAGAGGCCGCAGTGAGCCGCCTGCAGAGGGCCTGGTAGCAGCCGTGCCTGGTGGGTGGGAGGGGCGTAAGGGGGAGCCATGGGGGCCATCTGACCACAGAGAGGACTTCCTGGGAAGCTGGCAAGCCTGGCATCCAGAAGGGATAGACCGGGACAGTAGAGAAAAGGACCCAGGGACCAGGACCGTTTGGCTGGAGGCACATTTGTGGTACAAGCAGCGTGGAAAGTAGAAAAGCAGGGGATGGGGAGTTGGGGGAAGAGGGCACCCAGGATTCGGTGGGAGTACTACTGGGACAGTGTAGGGGAGACAGAATGGGAGGTGCCCAGACAGGGTGGGGGCCGTGTCCTGGTTGCACTGTGTGCCCTGCCCTGGGGAGGTGTTTGCCCTACCCCCTACCCACTGCTGCCCCATGGGGTCTCCCGGTGACTCCCACCTGCCCATGGGGAGAACTTGGTGATGTCAGGTGGGGCGTTGTCATGACAACACGGGAGCTTTGCCTTCCCAGGAGAGGCCCAGAGCCAGGTCACTGGCCACATGCCCCAACTCAGCAGGAGACCCCACCACCCCTTCCATCTCTGCTGGTGCTCGGCCACTGGGGTGGGGGCAGCAGGTCAGCAGGTGGAGCTGGGCCCGGGGGGAGCTGGCCTCATGGCCCCAGTCAGAGCCTTGACTGCGTGAGCCAAGACACCCAGCCTGGGGCCTCCCTAGTGGACACCTGCACCCCTTGGCCAGGACAGCTGCCACCTTGGCGTGTGCTTCACCCTTTCAACGATCCCTAGCATCCTTGCAGCCCTGTGTCTGGGGATCTCAGTGAGAAAATGGGAACACTCCAGATGTTTCTTCCTTAGTCATCTGCCCCCTCTCCGCCCAGCTTTCCTGAGTGACCCTGCACAACAACCCCATCTCGTCCCTGGTGCCCCGCCCTCCCCAAGGACCAGGTCTCAGGCTGGGGGCTGTGGCGTCCTCCAGGGCTGCTCTCGCTACTTGTGATCTTGTTCCTGAGGAGTCTGAGGACTGGTCTTGGAAGGAAAGAAGGTGTGTTCTTTCCTGAGGCAGGCACAGGCTAGTCTAGGGAAGGCATTTAAGGGTCATGAGCGACACTGGCCTCTGATCTGGCTTATGGAGTAAGTAAACCTTCCTTAAGAAGCAGAAGTTCTGAAACGAACTCAAAAGAGTAAGAGCACAGGGAATGAGGACCATGGAAGCTGAACTGTGGGTGCGAGGTGCTTGGCGGCGCTCTGACACCCGAAGAGTGATCTTCACTTCGTTTTTGTGGGTTTTTTGGTAAAAGCTTCATTGATTGTGCAGGTTCAGTCATTTTTATTATGTTCTCACAGTTGTGCAACCGTCAGTACAATCAATTTCAGAACAGTTCCATCATCCCTAAGGAAACCCTGTACCCTCTCACTAGTGCCCTCATCTTACCTCCCCACAGTCCCTGGCAGCCACTAGTCTGCTTTCTGTCTGTATGGATTTGCCCATTCTGGACATTCATACACATGGAGTCACACAATGAATGACCTTTAGTGTCCGGCCTCTTTTACTTAGTGTGATGTCTGAGGTTCACCCATGTTGGAGGGTGTATCAGTACTTCTTTCATTTTTATGGTTGAATAATGTTCCATGGTGTAGATGGACCACATTTTATCTGTTCATCACCTGATGGACATTTGCGTTTTTTCCACTTATTCACTTTTATGAATAATGCTCCTTTCTGTACACGTTTTTGTGTAGACAAGTTTTCATTTCTCTTGGGTATAAACCCAGAGGGAATTCCACTCTGGGTCATGCAGTGACTCTTAACGTTCGGCCATTGGAGGAAGTGCTGCATGTTTTCCTCAATGGCTGCACCATCTTTCATCCCCAGAAGCAGGTGTGAGGGCTCCACTTTGTCCACAGCCTGCCCAGCACTAGCTATTTCATATCTTTTTCATTATAGCCATCCTAGTAGGAGTTAAGTGTTATCTCATTGTGGTTTTGATTTGCATTTTCCTAATGACTAATGATGTTGAGCATCTTTTCTTATGCTTAGTGGCCATTTGTGCATCTTCTTGGGAGAAATGTCTGTTTAGATCTTTTACTCATTTTAATTGGGCTGTCTTTTTATTATTGAGTTGCAAGACTTCTTTATATATCCTTGATATTAGACTCTGATCAGATATAAGATTTGCAAAAATTTTCTCCCATTCTGTAGGTTGGTCCTTTCACATTTTTAATAATTTCCTTTGAAACACAAGTGTTCTTTGATTTTGATGAAGTCCAGTTTATTTTTTCTTTTGTTGCTTGTGCTTTTGGTGTCATATCTAAGATACCATTACCTAATCCAAGGTCATGAAGATTTATTTTTATGGGGCTTTTTTAAGAGTTTTATAGTTTAGTGCTTACATTTAGGTCTTTCATCCATTTCGAGTTAATTTTTCTATATGATGTTAGGTTGGTGGTCCAACTTCATTGTTTTGCACGTGGATTTTTTTTAAGAGTTGGTTTCTTTTTTTTTTTTTTTTAGAGTTGGTTTCTTTTTTTTAAATAAATTTATTTTGCATTTATTTATTTTTGGCTGCGTTGAGTCTTTGTTGCTGTGCGTGGGCTTTCTATAGTTGCTGCGAGCGGGGGCTAGTCTTCATTGCAGCACCCGTGCTTCTCATCACGGTGGCTTCTCGTTGCGGAGCACGGGCTCTAGGTGCACAGGCTTCAGTAGTTGTGGCACACGGGCTCAGTAGTTGTGGCGCATGGGCTTAGTTGCTCCGCGGCTAGAGTTGGTTTCTGTTTATTCGGGAATAACTGTGGTCAACTTTCATTAATGTGGAAGCTTACTGATTAATTCTTTTCCAATCATTCTAGTACCATTTGAAAAGACAGTTATTTCCCCCATTGAATCCTTGGCACCTTTGTCAAATATCAGTTGACCAAATGTGAGAGTTTATTTGCAGACTCTCAATCCTATCCCGTTTATATGTCTATCCTTATGTCCTTATTGTAGCTTTGTAGTAAGTTTTGAAATCAGGAAGTGTGAATCCTCTAACTTTGTTCTTTTTCACGGTGGTGTTTGCTATTCTGGGTCCCTTGAATTTCCATATGAATTTTAGGATCAGCTTGTTAATTTCTGGAACGAAGCCAGGTGAGATTTTGATGGGGATTTTGTTGGATCCATAGATGAATTTGGGGAGTGCTGCCGTCATAGCAATATTAAGTCTTATGATCCATGAACACAAGTGTCTTCATTTATTCATTAATTCCTTTCAACAATGTTTTGTAGTTTTCAGAGTGTAAGTTTTATACTTCTTTTGTTAACTTTATTGTTAAGTATTTTCTTCTTTTTGATGCTATTGTAAAGAGTTTTTTTCTTAATTTCAATTTCAGATTATTCACTGCAAGTGTATAAAAATAAAATTGATTTTTGTATGTTGATCTTGTATCCTGCAACCATGCTGAACTTGTGTATTAGTTCTAGTAGGTTTTTAGTGCAACCCTTAGGATT